ATATAATGTCAAAGTTATTTTTACAACACCATTTAATTTAAAAAACAATTCTCTGTAACAACAAATCTAGATTAATGCCAAACAGCAACCCTGGGATGTACAAGCTTATGTGTTTGTGTAGTAATTTATATTGGGGAAACAAAAAAGAGAATTTTGCAAAGAAGTATAGAACACCAAACTAATAGCATGAATAGCAATTGGCATGCTTCTGGAGCAACTGAGCATTGCAAAGAATACCATGGGATATTCAACTGGCTGCACACAAAAAAAGAAAATTGCTTGAAACTAACTATGCGCAAACATCTCAGAAGGCTAAACAATACCGGGTACTGCTTAACAAGGATAACAGGGTAAAAGTTGCTTCGAATAGTTGGAGACCACTATTTAAGAAAATCATAAAAAAACAAAACAATTTTTATTAACGCTTCTTTGTAATGACTTCTTTATGATTTTTATTTTGTAACAGTTTTCAAATGGTATTTTACATCTGATGATGGTCTATACAAATTAGACCAAAATATCACAAAAAAGAAAAAGTTGTAAGTACAATGCTGTTTTTGATGTTTTACAACTAAAGATATAAGCAACTATTTCATTTTTAAGATTTTTCATTACATAAATAAAATACATTTATGAAAAGTAATGTTAAAAAAATGATTTAATTTGACTTTCCATGTAGAAACAATTTTTTTGGGCTGTCTTTTCTTAATAAACTGATTCCAGGCTAATTCTATTTTCTGTACCAATGTTCGAGGAAAAAAACTAGACAAATAAGAGTTTTTGGAGCACTTAGGAACAGTAACAGTAAAAGAATGAGATTTAACTGAATGACAACACGAGAATAAATTTTAGTAGATGGCACAAGAGACGCTAGTTCTTTTGAGCAGTGCCCATTATAGTATTTGTAGAAAAGAGTAAGAGAAGCAGCATTACGACAATGTGGTAATGGTTAAAGGTTGGCTGCAAGAGCAGGTCCAACTATGATTACAATGCATTTTTGCACCTTGTCTAAAAGAGAAAGGGCATCATTAGAAGATCCGCCCCAGATATGGCAACAGTATTCCATACAAGGCCGGATTTGAGATTTATAGAGATAGAGAATAGAATCCAGAGTAAGAAAGTGTCGAGCTCAATAAAGAGAAGCAACTTTAGGAGATGCTAATTTTGCAACAGATTTGATATAAGGTTTCCAAGAAAGATCAGAAGTAAGAGTTAATTCTAGAAGATGAAGGGTAGGAGACTCATCGAATACATTACCGTTCATAAATATAGGAAGGTCTAAACTATTGCGATAAAGATTGGCTGAAAAAAATTGAGTTTTATCTGAATTGAAGTTCACCAGCCACTGTGAGCCCCATGCTTTAGCAGAAGTGAGATCCTTTTCAAGCTCAAATGTCACCTCCAAGCAATCAGAGAGAGTTGGCTTCTTATCATGACAAGAATAAATGGTAGTATCATCAGCGAACAATGCCACCTCAGATGTGAGAATATCTGGAAGATCATTAATGTAAATTAAAAAGAGTATAGGGCCAAGGATTGAATCTTGAGGAACCCCTGAGATTACAGAATAAGAAGAAGAGCTCTGTCCATCAAGGACATTTTCTATGCTATAATTGGAAAGGAAGGATTTAATAATCTTAAAGATGGTTCCAGATACACCGTAAGAAGAAAGTTTATAGAGAAAACCAGCATGCCAAACTTTATCAAATGCTTTAGAAATGTCAAGAGCGATGGCCTATTGAGAGCAGCGAAAGTGTTGACAATCTTTGCTGTCTAATTTCGGTTTTGATTTAGTTTTTTCTAATTTATATTGGTTCGTTGATGGCTAATAATACTGTAATTACATAACATTTAATAGAAAAAAAAGAAGTTTTGTAGTTCCATTTAGGCCTAGGTCATAAAATAGCGTTCTACCAAAGATATCTTGTTTATTATCACCCGAAACTTTAAACAAGTTTTGGGTGTTAATAAACTTTATTTGTAGTTAAATACTAATTAATAGCTTTAAAAATGAGGAAATGTTTAGAAGCCAAACCCAATCACTTGTTTTAAATGTGTCAATTCCAAAATTTAAGTAAACCATCTGAAATTGAATTTTACTAATAACAACAATAATTTGTCATTGTTTTTCCCACGTCTTTTTTCCCATGCTTTTGTAATATGATTTAAAAGAAAGGATATACAGTAAGTACAGTAAATGCAGGTAAAAGAACATATTATTTATGCATTGAAAAGGCAGCAGAACTTCTAGTACTTTGTGGCAGCTTGAAGTCACTGACATCATCACAAAGAATGCGGAGATATTTTTAAATAAAAGATTGTTGATAGGTAGTCTTTGCAGTGTTCAGAATTTTGCAGCGAATGGGAATCTGTTTGGGTTTCTGCTGTTGGTGTAAGCTACTTTAGTGGTGCAAGAGGACTGCACGAAGTAAGAACTGGAGCACAATGTATCAAGTAGACAATAACTTAAGATCTGTAGACTTGTAGAAAGAATCTGACTTGCTTAAGGCGTTTGTGTATAAATGGTACTAGTTTTATATTATTGTGCACTTTTGTCCATTGTTCATCTCAATCATATATATGCATATATATATATATATATATATATATACATATATATATATATATATACATATATATATATATATATATGTATATATATATAAATATATATATATATATACATATATATATATATATATATATATATATATATATATATATATATATATAATATATATATATATATATATATATATATATATATATATATATATATATATATATATATATATATATATATATATATATATAAATATATATGTATACATACATTCATACATAAACAATTACAAAATATTAACTATGATTGATTTTAAAATACTTTAAATTAAAAATTTAATATTTAGGTGTGTACTCTACCAGAATATATACACAAAAGGTTTGGTGGTAATCGTATTCGAATATTTTTATCAGTTTTATCTCTTTTACTATACATCTTTACAAAGATATCTGTAAGTTTTTTTTCAAAAATTTTTTTATTTATAAAGTTTATAAAAATTACAACATTGTTTTTGTTTTTTTTCATCTTGAATGTATATGTAAATATAATATGAAATGATATGTAAATGTCTATTTATTAAATTCTCAAAGTATTAAATATTCGCTTTAAATTAATTGTTTTAAATATTCTTTTGTGCTAAATAAAACAATTAATAGTTGCATATTAAATTAAATATATTAACATATATGCATTACTATAATGAATTCTAATATAGTTAAATGGTAAAACCTTCAATTAGTTAAATATATCAACTTTTTTTTGCATAGAAACTCTGTATAAAATTTACAACTAGAAGTAAGTATATTAACTTTTTGTTGCATAGAAACTTAAAACAACATTTACAACTAGAAGTAAATATTATAACATTGTTATAATCTTATTAATTTGTCCAACTTTTTTTAATTTTAGTAATAATTTTCTAAAAACTGAATAATAAATATAATATAAGATATACTATATATTTATTTACATAAGATATATTATAATATTCAATTATTTATAAAATTATAAATTAATGTATTTTTTATTTGTTAAAGTGCAATTGACAATTACATAGGTAAAAATTAACAGAGGTTTTTATTTGATTTAAAGGGATCTCCAAGTGTGGATACAAGTTGTGTTCATATCAAAGATAAACATTAATGTTAATTAAATCTTCCAAAACAAATTATTGAATGAGATATTAACAAAAGCATTCGCTGTTTTGCCATTATACTTCCGGTTGAAAGCCTAATTTTAGGCTCTCAAATCTGTAATTTTTTTCCGTTAAAAAAACATCTGGTCTCAATAATAGATAACCACAGAGTTTTTTAAACAGTTCAGTTTTACATAATCAGATTGTGTTTTCCCCTTTAAAAATAGTCTGCGGTGGTTATAAAAAACGTTCACTGTAGCATGTTTTTATTTTTTGTTTAACGTATTGTGAAGTGTTTAAGTTAGAATAAACTAGCGTAATAAAAATAGTAATTAATCAAAGCAAGCTTATTACTTTTATTAAAAAATACAAAGTATATGTTTTCTTTTACAATCTGCAATTTATTTGTACTATTTATCAACTAAATCACAAAAATAAAATAGTATTTTTGTGATTGAATTTATATTTTATTATATTAATTTATACTTATAATTCAAAATACCGTTATTTTGAAATGATCTAATATATATTTTAAAATTTTAAAATGATTAAATATATATTTATTATATTGATATTAAAATATTGAATTTTATATTTTCGTTTAACCACAAAAGGGAAACCCCAAACATTCTCTAATGTTTAACTCGATTTAAAAATTTTTTTTTTATTGACTTCAAATATTAATTTCAAAAACGCATTAATCAGACCAAATTAAAAAAATGTTAAATAGTCAAAGATCCTTCACAAGAAACAAAATGACATTGAAAATTAAAAGTTTTTTGTTGATATCTCATTCAATAATTTGTTTTGGAAGGTTTAATTAACATTTAACTTATTTTCTAATGTTTATCTTTGATATGAACACAACTTGTCTCCACGCTTGGGGATCCCTTTAAAAAAATAAAAAAACAAAAATAAAATCCACTGCTTTCTTTTGGAATTTTTTGATTTCTTTTTTAAGATTAAAATCTGACTGTCAAGTTAATGTGTTGTTGAAGTTGACAATGACCTATGAGTAAACAAGTCAATATAAATCCGCGGGTTTATTAATGGTCACCGTTACTAAAATAATCGCTCTATACCAAAACAATAAAATGAGTAGATAACAAAATAGTCAGTAAAATTATAATAAATGATAGTTTGGGTAAATTAAAAAGAAAAAATAGGCTAATAAATGTGGTACTGCTTATGGTTTAAACTCTAAATAATAAATTGAAAACTGAAAATCACCTGTGTAACATAAAAATATGTTGTAAATATAACAATTTCATAATATAAAACTCACAAAGTGCTATAATACATGGGTGTAAGAGCTAACAAAATGTTGGTGCCGTAATAACCAATTAGAATTAAGCAGTGGATGGATGGTGATCTCCCTCTTTAAGAATGCACTGCGATCACCAATGAAATTTCAGAGAGCCCAAGACCTGCACTAACACCACTCGTCAGGGGGCGTGTCTATGCAACAGATCTCTCTGCCTGCACTTAACGTTATGCTAGTCAATATTGCAATATAATAGGATTACACTGCAAAAGCCAAAAATCCCAATCCCTATCCCAGTTTTTAATACAGCTCCAACAACCTTAGTGATCTCGTGAGGTTGTTGAGGGATGCGTGTGGTGTGACATATATCAATACATATAAATATCATGTACACTAGAAGAGATAAACGTACACATGCACATATGCGCATGTATTAAAATAAACAATTTAAATGTATATGTATATATACATATACATATATATATATATATATATATATATATATATATATAATATATATATATATATATATATATATATATATATATATATATATATATATATATATATATATATATATATATATATATATATATATATATATATATATATAAATATATCTATATATATATATATATATATATATATATATATATATATATATATATATATATATATATATATATATATATATATATATATATATATAAATATTTATATATATATTTATATAAATATAAATTAGTAGAAAATCACCTAGCAAAATTTTTTTCTCATTTAACACTGTGTTTCATCATTTCTGATGAGTCATCATAAAGACTCATCAGAAATGATGGGTCTTTATTGATGATGAGTCTTTATTGATGAAACACAGTGTTAAATGAGACAAACATTTCTGATGAGTCTTTATTGATGAAACACAGTGTTAAATGATAAAAAATTTTGCTAAGTGATTTTCTACTAATTTGTAATTGCTCTGTTCTTTTAAGAACATTGAGCACTCTTTTTGTAGAATACATTTTAAATTGTTTAAATATATATATATATATATATATATATATATATATATATATATATATATATATATATATATATATATATATATATATATATATATATATATATATATATATATATATATGAATATATATATATATGAATATATATATATATATATATATATAGCAGGCTATAAGATAATCGATGTAGCAACACTTCGCGCAATTTTTTAAAAATATATTTTAACAAAACAACAACAAAAACACCATTTATAAAAAAAACTTTCTAGTCATTATTATTGCAGTTTTTTTAAAAAACAATAAAATTTAATGTACTTCCACATTAATTTGATTGTTTTGACATTTCAACGATAATAAAATGTAGCTTAATTGTAGAGGAGTTTGGAGTTGGAGTTGAAAGAGACTTTTTTTACATCAAAAATCTCTTTTGACTACAGTATAAGGATATATATATATATATATATATATATATATATATATATATATATATATATATATATATATATATATATATATATATTTATATCTACTATAGTAGATATAAATATATATATATATATATATATATATTTATATCTACTATATATATATATATATATATATATATATATATATTATCTCCTAATATTAGGTCAATATGTATTCTGGGGCGTTGTTCATACAGCAATCTGTTGGGTGGAACTTGTATGTGTCTATACTTGGACTACTTGCATTAACTGGGCTGTGTACTGTTACTGGTAAAAATCTGCATATATTTGTCTCAAGTTTAAGTTTTACTTTTGAATTTCTAAAATAATTTATAAAATCTAGTTTATAATTTTTGTTGAAACACTTTCTTTAAAAAGCCTTTTGCATTTTTTAAGAATTTAATTTCGATCCAATAATTTTTTTTTTATTTAAATTGGTTCATTTTTGCAACATAAGTAACAACAATACTTCCAAACAATTTCAATGATTGCTTATCTGAAAAATGAACAAACTTAATATATATATATATATATTCTGTTATATTATTATAATATTTTATATAATATATTTTATATAATATAATATATGTTGTATTATATTATACAATATAATTCATATTATCTTATTATATATACTGTTCTTAATAAATTAAAACATTTTTAAAATTGTACTCTAATATACACTAAGTAATTAGGTCTGATTATCCTGTTACTGGTAACATATACAACCTGCTTCATGTCCTGCTGTCTTCTAGGATACACTTTATTTGGCAAAGGCTAGGAGAAGCCAACACTGGTTAACACACACTCTACCTTGGGGTTTTTATTGCATAAAGGCTAAAGATGGAGTCTTGATAAAAATACTCATCTTTGGCAGACATTAAATGCATATTGCTACTGTCTTGTAGAAGGCATTTTAAGCTAAGACTTAAGGGGTAAATAGCCTCGCGTCTTTGTTTATCTATTTGGCTAGTATAGTTGTATTTACAATACATTGTTTCCAGTTTAGGATGTTGAATGCTGGATTTTCTTGACTCAATACATGGGTTTTGTTTGTGTTTCTACTTTTATGACTAGGCAACTCATTCTATTATCTCCTAATGAGGGTAGAGCTCTCAGTTTTATAATTCTAAGGCTGGCTGTTAGTCATGTTTCCTGAACTCTGTGGTAGCTCTCAGAGATGCTGATTCTATTAGCAGCTATAAAATATCAGAGTACTAATAGTGCCATGTTGAGCATGGATGATGTCCCTGTTTGTACTTTTGGCATGCATTGTTGAGGCCACGTTTGGAGCCCTTTGTTATGGCTTCGGGTTTATTAATAGTAATGAGGCAATTGCTTGGACTATTTAATAATTTACTTAATACTATCTATGCTTTAAGTCAAGCTCTTTAACAAATTTAAAAATGACCAAAGTACCAAAATCTATAAAACACAAAAAAAAACATCGTCATCACTAAGTTCTCTAAATCATTCACTAATATTTGTGGTTTTCCAAGTAACTTTTCTTCTGTTGAGTCTTATCACTTGCAAAGTTCACCAGACCTCCTTGTTCTTTGTGAGACTAATTTGAGTTTGACTGTCTCATCTTGTGATCATAGTGCTGATGGTTATCTTCCTTTAATTTGTAAAGACTCCCATAGTCACATGTTTGGCCTGGGCATTTACATTTGTAAGAATTCACCCATTTGTGGGGAAACTAGGTTTGAATCCACTGAATATTCTTTTATGTGCTTTCGTTTAGCACCACTTCACTCAGATCGCCTTTCTATTGGTTCAATATTGCTCTCCTTTATCTTAAGACTCTTTTCAATGTAATTTTCGATCAAATTGACCAAGCCCTCTTTCTTTATTCTTTAGTCAATACTGTTGTTGTTGATGACTTCAATGCTCATCACACTAAATGGCTTGGCTCTAGTGTCAGTGACTATGCAGGCATTAAAACCCTCAACTTTGCCTTTCTTAATCTCTAACTCAAATAGTCAACTTTCCAACTCGTTTTCTAGACAACCCAAATCATTTACCTTCTCTACTTGACTCATGTCTTGTTTCTGATCCTAGTCAGTGCTCAGTTTCTTCACACTCACCCTTGTTTCTGATCATGGTTTGATCTCCCTAAAACTATTATCTCATTCTTCTTCATCATCAGAACTTATTATTGTACCTCTTACAACTAGGTTAAAGCTGACTGGGGCTCTTTCCATGATTTTCTTTATGATGGCCCTTGGTTAGAAATCTTTTGTCTTTCTGCTGATAAATGCGCTTCTTATACTTAGGCTGGCGTGGAGTTTTTTATTCCCTCTTGACAATTCCAAGACAAGCCTCACTTTTCCCCAAGGTTTTCCTCTCATTTTACTGCTGCAATTTTGTAACCATTACTTCAATATCTATCACCAAAACAGCTCTCCAGAAAACAGATGTCTGTTTGCTATTGCTCGAAACTATTGTTTAAAGGTTTTGTCTAATGTCAAAGTCTGCTATTCTCAGGTCACGAAATCTCATATTTCATCTAAAAAATTAGGCTCCAGAGATGTCTCGAGAATTTTTGACAGTGTCTTTGATAAAGGCAAATCTGTTATTCCACCTCTCTTGCATGGTTAAGATTTTGTTACCTCACCTAAAGACAAAGCTGAATTGCTTGCTAAGAACTTTTCATCATTGTAATCTCTTGGTTCCACAAATCATATTCTAGCTGATATAGCCAACAAACTAGTTGATCCATTGTTTGACGTTTCTATCACTCCAGCTTCTGTATCTAAAGTAATTTTCTGCTTAGTCTCTTCTACAGCTTGTGGTCTGGATAACATACCTGTTATAGTCTTGCAGAAGTGTTTTCCGGAGATGTTGTCTATACTTTCAAAACTATTTAACATGTGCTTATCAGATTCTGTTTTCCCTATTTTCAAAAACTCTGGAGAGCCATCTGACTTGTCTAACTACTGTCCTATTAGTCTTCATAAGCTAGTTTTACGGGTGTTTAATTAACAAACACTTAATCTCTTATCTTAAATCTAACTTACTTTCTAATCATCAATATTTGTTTCGACCATTTCATTTTACTGCTGATTTATTAATGGTAATAACAAATAGGTTTTATCATGTATTAGATAGATATTGAAAGGTTTAGGCTATCACTCTTGACATTCCTAAAGCCTTTGATAAAAATTGGCATGCTGGTCTTTATATGTTCTCTTCTTATGGTGTATAAAGTAACATCTTTATGATTAACTAATCCTTTCTTACCAATTGATAAAATTTGTCTTTGATGGACACCATTCTTCTTCATTTCCTGTAATTTCGGGGCTTCCACAAGGTTCTATCCTTGGCCATATACTTTTTTTATTTACGTTATCTCCCAGAATTAAAGTGGCATTGTTTGCTGATGATAATACCATTTATTCTTGTCTTGATAAGAAGCCAACACATTTCAGTATTTATAAAAAAGAGAAAGAGAAGCGACAGTTGTAATGTTGCTTCTTTTTCTTTTTTCTTTAAATACTGTGATGGGTGCTGCTCTAAGGAGCTAGCATCTCTTGTGCCATCTATTAAAATTCATATTTGTGTTACTTGTCATTCAATTAAGCCTCATCCTTTTACTATGACTGATCCAAAGTGCCTCAAAAATTCTTTTTCGTCAAGTTTTTTTCCTTGAACATAAGTTTTTTGGAATTTGCTCCCTTTATTTTGTTTTCCTAATCCATATAATTTGCAGTCTTTTAAGTTATCTTCTAATCGTTATATTGCTTTATAAACTTTATTGCATTAATTGCTTGCAGCCTTTGTTGTTAAGGAATAAGTAAGAAAAAAAAGTATCTCTTAACCCTAAACTCCAAAACATGGCCACTGCAACAACTTTCATCTTCTATGCAGCACTGTCATTAGCTTATGATTTGGACCTTTTATTTGAGAGCTGCGTGTTCTACCATTAGTCTGCTATCTCATTAGTTTAAAAAATATTCTGACATTTATCAAAAGTTTTAGCTAGTGTTGATTTTTTGGATGATGATGGATTGCAGTGAGACAGTTTTTATCTGTTTCCAAAAGGAAAATGTTTGTGCTATATTTTTTTTACTCAAAATCTTTGATTTTTGAAAATAACATTAGAACAAAATAACTTGTAGTAATTGAAAACACTTTATTCAACTGTCGAAATATATATACATAGAATTTAGTGCAGAATTTCTGATGCATTGTTAGATAGAAATCATAATAAAAACTTTCAAACATGGACCTGGCTGCTTTTGGTTACAGAATTTGTTGGGGCTTTACTTTTAATGGTGTGAGCAGGCTGATGAATATTACAGGTATAATGACAGGAAAATGTCAATGTCATAAAATGGCCCCCAAGACCTTAATCCCATAGAAGATTTATGGAAAGTTTTTTAACTAAAATATCTCCTTCAAAACAAACAAAAAATAATTTTATAAGGTTTTTAATAAAATTCATTCTCTATGTCGCAATATTTTAATTTGGTAAAATATTGCGAAATAATGGAATATTTTTAACAAATATGTAGTATAAAAATTCTATTTTTATTATGCAGTATCTTATAATGCTAAATGGAAAAATGCAAGAACATATTAAATAATTTTAAAAAGTAACTTTTTATTGCAGTTAAACTTTTAGTCAAGTCATGAGCAGTTTGTCTAAATTAAATAATTTGTAATTGAAGGAAAAAAAAATCTGATTAATATAATGTATAATTATTGTTAATTAAACAACAACATTTCTTTATTATTACTTAAAAGTTTTTTGAATTTTTAAATTTAAATTTTGTGAAAATATTTAAATAATTGTTAATTCAAGAAGAAATTCAAAGCTAAAAAGTAAATAAATAATTATTTTTTTCTTTTTTTGTTTATAATTTCATCTATGTTTTATTTTTTATTTTTTTTTTCAATTTTTATTTTGTCTTTGCTATTTGTGCTCAATAAAAGATGAATGTAAAACATATTAACGACAAATTTCTTTATAAAATAATTTTGTTTGAATATAGTTCTTGGTTTTTCTAAGAAATCTGTTAAAATTAAAATTTCAAGAAAATTTTAAATCTTTTTAAAAAAACATAATAAAAGTTTCAAATAATATTATATAATTTAAATTATATAATTTAAAGAGGATAGTGTATAATTTATACCAAGGGTAACATTTGTTCTGTACACACATTTTATCAGTTAAAAGATTTGAACAACATAAAATATAAAATTTATAGTTAATTATTATTGTCTGTTTCTTCAGTGTCTGTTTCTATCAGTGTTTCACAGGAAGACGTACTACCGCGCGTCATTATATGACTAGGCAAATCACATTTTGTTTTGACAATTTGACCGCGGCTATTTCAAAAAACATTTTAAAAATGCGCTAAATGAAAAATATTCTGAATTATACCTTAAGTGAAATAAATTACATCAAAATTTCTGAACAAACAGTAGTTATATTAGCAAAACGCTTTTAAATAAAGGAACAATTTACTGATAGTGATTTTTTTTAAAAGTATAATTGACAGTTTATCTTATATAAAGTATGCATTTTTTATAACAAATGTTATTAAAAAATAAAAAATTAGTTTGTTTTTTTAAACAATGACTTTCTATGACAACGACAGTCTCTTTAACGAACTTTAATATAAAATTAATTTAAGTTAATATATTTAAAAAGATAAAAAAAAATTTGTTGAAAAAAAAAAGACAAATTTTTTGAAAGCCGTTACAATTAAAGATGTTTGATCTTGAATGCTTTTATATTATCAAAACATTTTTTAATGAAGAAAAAAACACTTCTGATGAATTTTTATATTTAGTAATTAATAATTTACTGTTTTTTTATTTTACTTTTACATAATTATGTATTTTTTATGATAAATGTTAATCTTTTGACTTAAATTAAAAAAAAAAAAAAAAGTACAAATGTTTGAATAAGTAAAAAAAAACACTATAATTTAAATCAAGTATGCATATTTTTTAAACAATCATTAAAATAAATTGTTCTTTGTTTATTAATGTTGATTAATGTTCTAATTATTATTAAAGATAAAAAATTATTCAGAAATGTATATTTATGTATATATATATATATATATATATATATATATATATATATATATATATATATATATATATATATATATATATATATATATATATATATATATATATATATATATATATATATATATATAGATAACCTGTTTTTGTGAAAAAATTACATTTGGTCGGCAAGCTTTGAAAAACTATTTTTTTTAGCGCATTTTAAATATTGAAAACATATCAAAAGCCCTCGTCAAATTGCTAAAACAAAGTATTTTTTGTGTGTTTATACAATTGTGTGCAATTGCACATCTTCCTGTGAAATACTGGTTTAATCTACTTATATTAACCTAATTTATCTATTTTTAACATAATTATTACAAGATTTGTTTTGTCATTTAAGTGCTTAGGGAAGGGTTGTAAAAGTGATTTTAAGGTATGATTATATTGGTCTTGACTATTATTAATGCAGTTATACTTTTTTATTTATACTAATGATATATTTTACTATATTATTTGTTTTTTTTTTATTTATTTATTATTGTTTTTCTTTGTTTATGTATTTAGGAGGTTTAGCTGCTGTTATTTACTTAGACACATTCATGGCATTTATTATGATTGGTGGAGTAACAATAATGACATATATTGGTATGTTTTGTTGATTATGTTTCGTTTAATAGTTTTAAGTGTCATTTATAATTTTTTTTTTTTCAAAACTTTAATTTCTTTTAATTCAACAAAAGAATTAAATTACAAAGTAGTATCACTTAGCTGACTACGATAAATATATAATGTACACAAATAATAAAGTAATAACAAACAGTGACAAAGTAATAACATACAGTGTTAAAGTGACAACATACACTGATAAAGTAACAACATACACTGATAAAGTAATAACTGTAATGTAGTAATATAGTTACAAGTTGTTTATTAGTTTAGAAAATTTTTTTGGCATGTTGCTTTCTTAATTCGTTATTTTTGACCTAAAGTTTGTTTAGGAATTCCTAAAATTTGTTAATTTCACATGATTCAGCTTATTTGATTTTTGAAATAGGATTAAAAAGCACTGTCCTAACTGCATAATATACCATAACTTGTGTACATTATATATTTATCATAGTCACAATCTTTGTATACCCAAACTAAATAAAGAGTCTAATTTTCAGCTTTTATGCTGGTGCTTTATAAACCTGGCCCAAAATTACAAGCAGAAAAAAACAAAGATCATTTTAAAAAGTTCCACGAACTTTCCATGACTCTCAATGAAAATTTAGAAATTCCATGACATTTCCGTGATTTCCATGACCAGTGGCCACCCTGTATTAGGCACGTTTCTACATCATGGTAATCTCTAAAACCTGCTGAAAACCCCCTGTCTTTTATTTGAGTGTTAGCAGTAGCACTTCTTATTCCTGTTTTTTGTTTAATTTGTTTTAGAATCTGCTGTTTAGTGTTTAATTTTTTTTTATAGGATTTCATAAAATAGGGGGTTATAATGAGTTACGTATTAAATATATGAATGCTGTACCTGATGAGGTTCTTGCAGGGAACACAACATGTGGAATACCTAGACCAGATTCATTTATTTTGTTGCGTGATCCTATTAATTCTGATCTTCCTTGGCCTGGATTCCTACTTGGTCAATCTACTGCATCCATATGGTACTGGTGTGCTGACCAAGTAAGGTATTTATTCTTCCTAATAATTCATTTTGATTAAACTTGAAAATTGTGACCTTAAATTAGGTCTTTTTAAAAAAAAAGTTTTTTGAAATTAAATATGTAACTTGAATAAATCAAAGAGAAGGATTTTCAAATTAGTTTAAATGTTTTTTTGTTACATACATATCTGCAAAATAAGTTGACTGAATTTATATGATAAAAAAGATAAAAAACAGGTTTTTATGAAACTTAAAATAAAAAGTAAATAAATAATTCAAGTTGTTGATCAGCATAGAAAAGATGTTTCTCTTTTAATTAAGAATTATTTAAAAATATATGCTTATTGAGGTTTAAATTATATTTTAAAAATATTAAAAAGTTTTTTTTTCAATATCTCTGTAAAATATCTGATTATTATAAAAGATTAGTTTGCTTTTATAATGTAAATTTTAGAGTTAGAAAAAATTGACAATGAAATAGAAAATTTTAAATCAACCTCAAAGGCTGAAACTATTTTTAAAAAGCATTCAAACAAAAGAAAAAGTGTTGATAAAGACTATAATACCAAATGCAAATGGAAAAATAATATAAGATTCTTTTTAATTCTATTCTTTTCTTGAATAATTCTGTGTGAATAAAAATTTTTTAAAACATGACTTTCCTCAGAATGCATTAATGAAGTTGATTCAAGTGTCTTCAAGCAATGTTGGAAATATGAAATGATAAAAAAAATTTGTTTGTGAGTTGTACACATATTCACACCAATGACAAATGAATTTCATGCAAACATTTTGAAAAACACGTGCTAACAGATAATATATTTGACTTTAAAGCATTCTGGCATAATTAGAGAAAATCAAAGCTAAATCTTATCCAAATGTCTTAGAGTTTTAAGGCGTATTCTAAAATTTCTTAAAAATGGATACAATTAATTGGTGGAATATCTTTAAAAGACAGAATTCATTAAATTATGCTGAAGTATCGTCAATGGGGGTGACTATGAATGAATTTTAAACATTTTTGCATCATATAACAAAACAGTTATTCTAATCACTACTTTTTTTTTAACAGAACATTATACTATCCAGCTTCCTGAAATGGTTCTATGCCTTATAAAGTAAATACCTTAATTTTCTTATTTTAAACGAGCATATTTGTATTTCTAAAATGGGGTAAGAATGAACAGCCGATTCTGGGTGACTTTGAACACGGCATAATGTTTTTATTTCTTAGATTATGGATAGACTAACAAATGTAAGAGGGGAAAAATAATGTTAAAAATCAAACAGATAACAGAAAGTGTATTTTAATATGTTGTAAAATCTTTTATTTCAAATAAAATTCATGTGAAAAAAAATTACATAGTAAGTTTAAAACCTAGCTTTTTTAACACATTACTCTATACCACAACACATACAAAGTATCTTATGCAAATATCAAATACATATGGCCTCAGAGAAGTTTACTGGAGTGGAACCAGCAATTAATTTTATGCATTACTATAACATTGATATACACATAACAGGGGCTGTTCTAGAACGTTTTTGACAGCTCCAACTGTATTTGGGCGCCAATTTAGGCGACCCCCAAATTTAAAATTGAGGATTTTTATTTTTCTATAAAAGGCAAATTTGATTTTTTCTAGAAAAAATACCTAAATTCGGCGAGGGGTACCGCCTCCCAAATTATTTTCCTAGAATAGCCCCTGTATAATATTATTTATATTATATATTTAAGCATGCATTTGTTAAGCAAAATTAAGAAGTTTTTAAGAAGTTGAAAGAAGTTTCAATGAATTGTGAATCTCAAACTGTGTTAATCTAAGTTGACCAGGCTAAAAAAACTTTTTATTTTAGTCAAAACTAAATTTCAATTGTGGCCCTTTTAGTCTGGCACATCGAGTTAAAAACATTTACATGGTTTCTGATCCAGCTGATTGTACAAAGTTCAGTTATTATTAATTGGCAAAATTCTTTGTAATCAAGCTATAAAAATTTTCATTTTTAGGTACTTTTTAATTTAAAAACAAAGACATGGCTGTGATGATTTTTATTGAGAAACATTTAAAGAAAAGTTCAACATAGTTTATATTGAGTTTATCAAATTATTAAAAAAAAAATTTTTATTTTTAGTTTATAAACTTTTCTTTTTAATTATTCATATTTTAGTCATTTTTTCTTTGAAAACTAAGCGGTCTCTCCAACAAGACATATTTTATATTTATTTATTTTTTTTAGATTCAGATTCTCTATAAAATTCCCCACAAAAATGAACGTACCTTACTTTTAAAGTTTAATAAAAACAGGAAAAAAACAGCACACTTTACCATAACATTCTTTGACTAAAATATGAAAAAAGTGCCTGAATTTTAATACCCTTTACAAAAATTCTTTTTCTGTATTTGTTTTTACAACTTTTTGAACCAAATAATCAATTTTCTTAAAATTTAACAATTATCTAGTTAATCAAAAATTAAATTTTTTTTTTTTTTTTAACTAAAGTTTTGCATTGTTAATTAGTCACATTTTAGCCATTTTTCCGTTCTTCACCAAAAGTAACCTTGCAGCTTTTGAAATTGAAAAAAAAATTAAAATTGTCACACCTGACTAGTTTAACCTTTTATATAATAAAAATTTGTTTTAAAGCAACTAAATTTCAATTTTGCATCATTGAACTGATAGAATTTTTTTTTTTTATAGTTCTTAAATTTTTTACAATACTTTTTTTAAACAATTAGCAATCCTAATAGCTAATTGCGAGAGAAATTAGCTATTAGGATTTAGGCCCTCTTTTACCCCCTTTAGGCACCTGAAGACCATAATTTTCTTCAAGGAGTTTGATTATTTTAAACCAAACAATAATTTAAACTAAAGTAGTATAAAATTGTGATATAACTTTAATATTTTTTTCAAATGAAATTTTTTTTTTAAATTATGACTAATTTGGCATCCCCTACCATTTGGAAATGAACTGCCTTGAAATGAAAAACCTGCTTTGTATCCTCTATCATTTCGAAAAGAAACTACCTGAACTAAATAAAATACTATATTTTATCAACTTAAGTTTATATTTTCATCTAAATATTACATCATTTACATCTAAATGTTGCAATTTTCAGCTTGTATTGCAGGTATTAACATCAAATTATGCAATCTGGCATTCCATCTTTCTCTTGCTGTTGAATAAACGGGGGGTCTTAATAAACAAGATGGTTAAATATTTTTAAAATCAAATAAAGGGGAGGGGGGTTAATAAACAAGAGGGTCCGAGTTTTAAAAAAGTTTTTTAAAACTCTGACCCTTAATTATTTTTAATAGCACAAAAACACTAGAAGAAACTCAGAAGAACAACCTAATCTTTTTTTGAAATTAAGAAAAATCTAAAACTGTACAAGTTTAATTAAGGTCTCCCCACCCCCTGTTTATTCATCAGGCAAGAATAGTATTAAATGCTGATATTATACGTCAATCTCAATCAGATAAATCTGTCTCTCGATTTTTTTACTGCATACTGCTGCTGATGCTTCAGTAACAGCTTTGTGCTAAAAATGTTTTTTCCCAGCAAGGCTGCTAGCAACACCTATTAAGTTGGGGGTTACTAGAAAAAAAGAATAGAGTTATAGAGCAAGGAATTGGTATAAAAAAACTTAAAAAGTTGAAGGTTGCATGGAAAACATGAAGATGGGAGAGAGTTCCAAAGCATTGAAATGCAGGGAAAAAAACTAGACGAATAAAGGTTTTTAGGGGTTGCAGAGACAAATACACTAAAAAAATAAGACTTTGCTGACTAGACAGCAAGAATGAGTTGCAGTTGATGGAGCTAGAGATATGATAGTATTTGTAGAAAAGAGAAAGAGATGTAACTTTACTATGATGACAAGGAGGCTCAAGCTTAGCAGATAAAGTAGGTCCAACTATGTTTGCAATATGTTTTTCAAACCTTGTCTAGAAGAGAAATAGCATTATAAGAAGAAACCAGCCTAAATATGATAACAGTATTCCATACAAAGACAAATAAGAGAATTGTAGAGGTAGAGAATGGAATCAGGAGTAAGAAAATGGCGAGCACAATAAAAAGATGCAACCATAACAGATGTCTGTTTAGCAATCGATTGTATATATCGTTTCCATGAAAGGTCAGTAGTAAATGATAATCCAAGAAGATATAAAGAAGAGAACTCAGTGAGAGGGTTGCCATTCATTAATATAAAAATGTTGACAGTATTGCGATAGTTCTTTGCATTAAATAACTGAGTTTTGTTGAAGTTAAAATTTACAAGACACTGCAATCCAATCTGTTACAGAAGTGAGATGGGATTTATGATTGGCTGCCTGTTCTAAGCAATCAAAAAGAAAAGACTTTTTGTCAAATCAGGAATATAAAGCAAAAATTATCATCAGCAAAAAAAGCTACTTTATTTGTAAGGTTGTCAAGAAGATCATTAATGTTGATGAGAAACAAAACAAGACCAAGGATAGAACCTTGAGATACCCCAGAAGAAACTGGAAATGAAGAAGAGTGTTGGTCTTCAAGGATGAATTTAATAAAGTGGTTAGAAAGAAATGATTTAATTATCTCTAAAACTTTCTCAGATGCACCATATGAAACAAACTTATGAAGAAGACCATCATGCCAAACTTTGTTAGAAGCTTTAGATCAAGAACAATAGCTGTAGCCTCTCCACCTCTATCTAATATCCAAATAAATCTTTCAGTCAGCCAAGCAAGAATATCAAAAGTCGTATATATATGACTTTAGCAACGGAAATTGGAGTGATTTGAATGCCTAACAACAGGTTAACCTGTTTAATTGGAATGGAAGGAAGAGAATGGCCGTAAGATTTAAGGGTTGAATTAAATGAAAAGTTCTTTGCAAATAGTTCTACTTATCCTTGGGAGAGGTAATAAAATCAGTCCCATGAATGAGAGATGAAATGTTAGATCTACCCTTGTTAACAACGCTGTTGAAGATTTTTGAAAAGTCTCTAGAACTTAACTTCTGAGATAAGATACGAGAACT